CCCCAAAACCCCAAAACCCCAAAACCCCAAATTAAAAGGATAATTAAATGAAGGAAATACATTTAATTTCTATTTTAATATTAAGTCACTTAAAATATAAATTCATCTTCTTGATGCAACTTGTGATAAAGTCTCCTGCTGAATCTTCTTTATTTTTTCTACTTCTTGTTCTAATTGGTAACGCATACTTCTCTCTCTTTCTAATTCTTTCTCAAGTTAAGAGATTTTAGTTCCTCTAGTACCTCTTGAAATAACATCATCATTGATATAAATCATCTTATTATTATTGACATAATTAGACTGTTCATTCCAAATATACTCTTCCAAATCAGCATTTTAATTGCCTCCTATTCTTTAATCAAAAGTACCTCCAAGTCCAACTAAATATTAATTAGATCCCTGAGATTTAATATTCTATCTCTCAGTTTCAAAATAGTTATTGATGATCTTCTCTTGAGAGTATTCTTCCTCTGGAATCTGTTAATTGACTGGTGACCGTAGTGCCTTTATTTCTCCATTAGCTGTAACTTCTTTCAAGTCTGACTTTGAATCTCGCTGAAGCATTGTATTTAATGACTTTCTTATTTTTTGCTATCTAGAGCTAAGCACCCTTTTTACAAACTCAGGTTGTTATCTCTCTCCCTTTGGAGATAATAGCTGATTTTTAGATGATGTGTTTGAATTTCTCATGGTATTGCTAAAGTTGAAAGCTCTCTAGGTAGTCATCGGCCTCATTTAGGGGGCATTTTAATTAGGATTGTTTACTGTATCAGCAGCAGCATCTAATTCACTAAATGGTTGCAACACTTTAGTCTTGGGACTTAGTAGGTGTGCGTAGTGATGATGGTGAATTTTCTAGTATTTGTTGTAATTTGAACCTCGGGAAATCATAAAATCATTCATCACCTTACTTTGCTTATTTCTGTCATCATTCACTCCAAAATAAATAGGCTAACTGTTAACTTCAAGCATCTTATGAGATGATGTACCATTTATGCTCTATATCATGCTATTGATCTTTCTGCTACGCTATGAACCTGCTTTAATGCTCTTTATGTCAATCAGCTCGGCCATCTTACTTTATTTACCATTATTTGCAACCAGATCTTCATTCTCAAAAGTGGGTCTTTCAAAAATATCTCTAACATTGATAGTGCCTCCAAAGGTGTATATCTATTTATTCCTAGGCATATATTGAGTTTTGACTTGTTTGGACTGGCATAACTTCCTATTAGAGGCATTAGTTAATCTCATCAACTCTTAGTCCACTAGACTGAACAAATTTAGTTAATATTCCACCAATAAAAGTGAAATGAAGTGATTAACAAAAAACAACATTTCTACTTACTTCGATAATGGGAATTCTTGAGCAGCACTTTAATCCTCCTCTCCTGCAAATGATCTGAAATTTGAACTCTTAGGAGATGACACCCCTGATAAGCCAACTCTGTGATCAAATACTCTTCTATGCGCATTTAGTTCCTTATTGACTCTCTGCTGCCAAAAGAAATGCTCTGAATAGTAAGTCATATTTTATTTATTTGAGCTTAATTAAGTAAATGATAGATTGATAGATATTTAATTCTTTCTTAGAGACCAATACTTTTCGATTTATTTTTTTACATTCCAAAAACTTACTTATTAGTTATTACGGGGTTTTGGGGTTTTGGGGTTTTGGGG